ACCCCCCCCCAAGGGATGCGGTCATAAGCCTAAGTCCTGACATGTAGACTGGATGGGCAAACTCCCACGACCCCTCCAGCAACCTCGCAAGGGTAAAGAGCTGGTCCACTGTTCCACGACCACGACCAGTTTGATACCCCGATAGTTGGAGCACACCTTTCGGTCCCCTTTTTTGAAAATGGATTCACCACCCCGGTCTGCCACTCTGCAGGCACCATACCCGACCTCCACGTGACACTGAAAAGGCCTGTCAGCCAAGACAGCCAACAGTGTCCAGAGTCTTCAGCATCTCAGGGCGAATCTCATCCACACCCGGCGCCTTGCTGCTGGGGAGCTTTTTAACTATCTCAGCAACCTCTGCCAGGGATATGGGCGGGAGTTCCCCCGAGTCTTCAGGCTCTGCCTCGTTCACAGTGGACGTGATGGCCAGGTTCAAAGTAGGGCTGCACGATTAATCGTAATAAAATCGTGATCTCGATTCATATGCATATGCGATCTAATTTTTCAATGACGGTGATTCTGCCGGCCCCGCCCGTGCCAAGAGTCGGGACATCATCTGCATGAAAACAAGCGCTCCCAATGACACAGCGTTATACCAAGTGATGCAGAGCGACAGCCGGCCGGCAGTTTGGAAAGCAGCAAGACAGGGGGGAAACACACTGTTAACTGTAGCCTTAGTTTGTGCCTCATACAGATCTGCTGGTAAAGTTAACTTAGCGTTAGCAAGCGTGATAAAAGAAGACAGAAAAGCGAAGTTGTGCAAATAAACCAAAGATTTATTAATTATCTGTAGCAGTAAACACATGGGCCGATAACAAATGTGTTAACTAACTATGCTAAAGCTTTACAAGCTATTCAGGGCTGCCGACGATAACATTAACATGACAAACAGCAAGGCTACGGCAAGTTAACGTACTGACACTCCTCAGACAGACAGACAGACAGACAGACACACACACACACACACATACCGGACAGCCTCTCAGTCCTTAGCCGCTAACGTTAGCTCATGTACAACACACGTACCACACAGAAACTTTTACAAAGGGTCATAATGTGCTTCTAGTGACTGTCAAATTGCCAGCGAAAGTTGTTTACACTGCCTGCTCTCATGGGACAAAGATCCTCTCATGGGACAAAGATCCTCTGAGAAGAAATACGGTTCACTCTGCTCTGCCGCCAGGAACAAACTGGGAGGCAAAGATCCTCTCTGAGGAAGATGGCTCACTTTGCTGCAGGGTTCACCAAAACATTTTTTTTTTTTTGTTTTCTTTTAATAAATTGAACACACATTAAAGAACATACAAGATCCTGTAGAGAATTAATACATATAATACAATACAATAAACATGGTCAAATTAAATGAAGGAAGAGAATTTTTTAAAGTCAAATAAAATATTGGGGATTTATGTAAAAATATACATAGAGACATATAAATAATTATATAATTAAAGATATGTAGGCTATGTTAGGTGAATACTCTTGTCAAATGCATGGTGTTGAAACGTTTAATTTTTACTTAATTCCAGGCCTGGAATACCTACCTCAGAAAAATGTTGTTCAACATTGATGATGTTAAAATTGTTCAAAAGCTGTAAGAGAAGACAAGAGACTAAAGCTTAAACAGGAGTGTTCCCTCTCTGCTGACCAGAGTTTATGTGCCTTGTGTCTCTTGTATCAGGCACGATCATAGGCTTTGTTATTTAATGATATTTTTTTATTATTTATTTATAATTTTTGTTACTTTTCCTTTTGTATCAGGAAATAAGCACAATATATCTTTATGTTGAAAAAAAAAAAAAACGTGAGAGAATCGTGATCTCAATTATAAGCCAAAAAATCGTGATTCTCATTTTTTCCAGAATCGTGCAGCCCTGGTTCAAAGTGCTCCTTCCACCTCTCGACAAAGTCCCCACTTCGGGTTAGCAGTTCTCCTTCTCTGCTGAGCACCGCCTGAGACAAGCCCTGCTTTCCCTTCCTGAGGCATCTAACGGTCTGCCAGAACTTCCTTGAGGCCAACTGAAAGTCCTCTCTGAACTCCTCCCACACCCAGGTGTTTGCTTCGGCGACCGCCACAGCTGCAGCCCTTCTGACCAACCAGTACCTGTCTGCTGCTTCAGGAGACCCCTGGGCCAGCCAGACCTGAAAGGCCTCCTTCTTCAGCCTGACAGCCTCCTTCACCGCTGGTGTCCACGACAGGCACCAACAACCTTCTGACAACAGCTTCTAGCAGCCGCCTCCACAATGGAGGCTTTGAACATGAGCCACTCACACCCCATGTCCTCAACCTCCCCCAGGATGCACGAAAAATTCTCTTGGAGGTGGGAGTTGAAGACCCCGAGAACAGGGGCCTCAGCCAGATGTTCCCAATTCACCCTTTACCAGGTCTGACAGCTCTCTGCTCTTCTCTTCACCCGAGTGTTCAAGACACATGGCCGCAGATCTGATGATACAACCACAAAGTCGATCATCGATCTTTGGCCTAGGGTGTTCTGGCACCAGGTACACTTATGAACCTCCCTGTGCTTGAACACGGTGTTCGTTATGGCCAGTCGATGACTTGCACAGAGGTCCAATACAAAAACACCACTCGGATTCAGATCAGGCTTGAGCATTGAAGTCCCCCAGGAGAACTATGGAATCCCCAGCCGGCACCCCTTGCAGGACACCACCAAGAGACTCTAAGAAGGCTGGGTACTCCGTACTGCTGTTCAGTGAAAGTGAGAGTCTGGCCCCTCTCAAGGGGTTTGGTTCCGGAACCAGTGTTGTGCGTGGAGGTGAGCCCAACTATATCTAATCGGTACAGCTCCACCTTCCACACCAGCTCTGGCTCGTTCCACAACAGAGAGGTGACGTTCCACGTCCCCAAAGCCAGTTCGCGACGCCAGGGATCAGCACGCCAGGGGCCCTGTCCCTGCCTGCCACCCAGCACACAATGCACCTGACCCTGATGTCTGTCCCTGCGGGTGGTGGGCCCACAGGGCAACGGCTCCATGTTATCTGTTTGGGCTGAGCCCAACTGGGTCCCGTGGCCTAAGGCCCAGCCACTGGAGGTCGCACATTGTCACAATTTATAATCATTCTAACAAATACTTGGTTCTGTTAACAGTTCTAGGTCATTAGTCACATTAAAATAAGTTATGCTTTATACAGTCTGTTTTTGTAAGACCATCCCTTTATTATCCCCCTAAACTTTATTTGATTATTTATTTGGGACAGTGCCTATTAATCAACATTTCAGTTTCCAAATCAATTTAAAAAATCCCCTAACATCCTAACGCTAAAGCGTCAAATGCCATCCATAGCACACACTGGACGGGTTGCACTGCAGCTCTTCAACAGACAACCACACAAGGTTATTACTACCTTTACTGAAAGATAAATACTTACTCCACCTCTGCATTAGCTTAAAGTCATGTGTGGACAGCCTCTAAAAAAACTTGATTTCTCACCTGAAGAGCCAATCTCCAGAGCTATGACTTGCCAGGCAATATCTTTTTGGCCATGGTCTTTATAATGCCGGGATTGTGGATTGTTTAGCTCGGGATATTTCTGGACCTCAACAAGAAGTCTCTCCGTCCATTCTTCGTCACACATGAGACACAGTAACAGTAACACTTATTCATCTAGCCCTGTTATGCTGAAGTTAGCCATTACTACCCATATGATGGAACATGAGCGAGCACTTGGTGACAACCGAGAAAGATTTTTAACGCATATTTTCAAAATGATTGGTTTCCACTATTAGTAAGCATAGCAGAGTGGACATGTTATGCTTTACCACATTAGACAAGCATTCTAAAACATTAGAAAAAAGCTTGATTAAAGAGAGATACTTTGCTTCTTGCAGAAAGTTTTCCCTCCAGAAATATATGCTACTCTCTGAGTCACGTGGTGGAGGAGGAATAGTTAGAGTGCATGTTCAGGGGGACTTGCATCAGAGTAACAGGAGGACAGTCGACTCAGGGATGCAACATATTTTAAAAATTTTAAGCATTAAAATTTTAAGAATAATAAAAAAATAACATTTGGTGAGGAATATTACACATAAGGCTATACAACAATAATGAAAAATATATAATTTGTTTGATTTCTGTTACTTAAATTTGTAATTAAGTTGAGCAAACATGATTGAGGACATGGCAGTTTCACCTACTTGTGCCAAAAACAGAGTGATCATTTTAAATTTGATTAATCCTGTGTACACATCATTCTGTTATATGGTAAAAGTGGGTTAACAATGTAAGACAAGTTTTTAGAAAGAAGTGTTCACCCATTTTTAAACAAAATATACCATATTATGTCATGGGGACTTAAATGGCACAGAATGCTAGGAACGACCCTGTCACGTCATGATTAACTGAACTTTCCAATCTAAGCAGACACATACAAGCTGATTTTGAGCAGAAAAAGCAGTGTCTTCAACAATTTCTTTATCCAATTATACTAATGATTAGCTTCATATCTGAATTTGTTAGTGCACAGAGCTCTGCAGGACCAGAGAAATCTGTACAAATAATGAATTAGAGCCTTCATTTCATCTTCTATGCCTATAACAAAGTACAAGTAGTAGTAGTAGTAGTAGTAAACAAATTAAACAAATCATCCTATGAAGTTACATTCCACATACTGAAATAATAATACTGTGGAGAAAAAAGTAAAATTTGAAATTGACATCCCGCAGCTTGCACACACCCTAACATTGCTGTAACAAAATAGCTATGAAAAAGACTTCAACTAACAAACTGTGAGCATGGCCATTCACACACAGCCACAGAGGAGCACTGTTAAAAAATGTGCCTTTGCATGTTGAGCCTTTTCACTGACAATTCTGCTTCTAATGAGGTCTTTATTGCTCCAGACACTTGATAAACATTTGATGCATGTGGCACCTGCAAGGCATTTTTTACATAAATTTATTGTTTTGCAATAAAGAGATTTAGATTTTAGATTGCAAAGGAGTTTACTACATGCCCCTTCAATAGTGTCTCTAATCCTACCTCTGTGTTAGTAGCAGACTCCACTTCAGTAAGGTGTTGCTGATGGCTGTGATGCTCAGCATTTTGGTGACTGTTCCCATGGGAGTGCTCATAGTACACAACTCTGACAGGAACACTCATTTTGCGACCTTGTGAGTCCCAGGAATGGATAAAGAAATCCCGGTGTTCACGAATATCAACCGCTCTGTTTACCTGGAGGGGAAAAAAACACCTATTAGCAAAGGCCTACGTGCAACTGATCTGGATTCAAGCAAGCTCTCTACATGCCAAATGAAACTTAAAAAATCCCTGAAAACACCCCCAAAACAAAACAGTTTGATAACATTCTTTGCCAACGTCTGTGGGGTAGATTGATAACAGAGACCAACAACAGTGTTGTACAGTAACAGCTGTCACATCTTGGAACTCACTGGGGTTGTATTCAGCATAATCGATATCAGCAATACTTCATCTAAGTTGGGTCAAGTTGGATTCTTTTCACTGTAGGCTATATCTGAGGTAAACTGGCAATTGTTGCTGAGGATTTATATTTTCACTCACTATTACTTTGTATTTTATTATAGTTACCCAAAACCCCTAATCATTTCTATTCATATCAGTGGATTTTGGAGAGGTGAGCATTACAAACAGCAAATTTGCAATCGAGCCTGTCAAACTCTACTGACCTTCAATATGCCATCTGTCTGGACCATGAAATGGCTGTCGTCACTGCTGAAGACAAACCTTGTGCGGTCTGTGCAGTCAGTGAAGCCCACTAGAATTGGATAGAAGAAATCGTGGTTCATTACAAATTCAGCACAAGCAGAGAAAACAGAGAAATAATTGGCAAGTGTACACCCTTCTGCAAAGTCTGACAGAATTCTACCACTCCTTTTCCATACTCATGTGCTGGCTTGGCTTGGTTTGGTTTGACTTGGCATGTTGGCCGAGCATGGCAGGGATTTGCATCTCCATTACAACAGGGCTACCTGCATCGAGGTGTGTCTTTAACTGATTATGGCTTATCTTCAGTGATGACATTTAAAAGGAGCGGGCTTAAAAGTCTTGCTGCAAGTGTTTTTTTCATCACACAGCATGGCAGGTAAAAGAAGTTGAGCTGTTTGCAGAGGTGCAGTAAGAGTCTGGTGTCTGCTGCTGTTTCTACTTTTACTCTTTCTCCCTGTGGTATTATTAGACTTGTATTTATTCAAGAAAAGATGCTAACAAAGTTCTCCTAATTCAGTGATAAACACATTTCTGGTAACCAGCTCAGTGGCCTGGTGGTAGTGTCCGCCCTGAGACTGGGAGGTCGTGGGTTTGATCCCCAGCCAAAGACTATAAAAATGGTACCCACTGCCTCCCTGCTTGGCACTCAGCATTAGGGGTTGAAATATATCACCACATGATTCCCAAGCGTGGCACCGCTGCTGCTCACCGCTCCCTCAGGGGATGGGTCAAATGCTGAGAACAAATTTCACACACTCAGGTGTGTGACAATCAGTGGAACTTTACTGTGGTCCAACTCTGGGAACAACATAGGTCATTAACGCTTGCGTACTTGCCCGAGGCAAGTAAACTCTGTGTTCAGGCAAGTGAATGCCTCATGCAGTTATGAGATCGGGAAGGTCAAGATAAATGTGATGTATGGTGTAAAGTTATCTGATAATAAACTCAGGGGTAACATTGATGATGTCATGTATGACATAACATTACCAAATACCTCAAATAAGGTCTGCCTCAAATAAGGTCTGTGGTTAACAAAAGCTTAAGTGAGTTTCAGGTTTTGTTCTACGACATAAAACACGTCAGTAAATACCCTACTTGTGAATTTTGAAGCTTTTATGTGTCGTAAAAAAGGCGGTTGCTAACAAGTTGCTCAATACAACTACAAACCCTGTCGAGGACAAAAAAAGTCATCAACCACAAACAGGCGAGAGTGCTGGCAGTCCGCCATTACAGCTTCTTATTTAGCTTAAACAGTCCGATTTCCCCATTATACATTGTTTTTAAAATAAAGCGGCCGAAATCAGTTGAAAGCTTAGTGGCGGTGACGTCAAGAGTCATGCGACTGAGTAGTCATGTAGTGCATTAAAGCCTAACGTTAGTTTTTTACTTCTGGCGATCGCATTTAAGCTTCAAATGCGTTATGAAAGGTGTTCATATGTGAAGATTATCTCACTGAACAAAACCTGTAAGTATCATAAACTTGCGTTAGCCACAGAGGTTATTTTCTGACATAATCCAAAACGCAATGCAAAAATCACATTCACTTCCTCTTCCAGGAATCAGCGCGATGATAATCTTCCGGGTTTTGATGTCAGCCCTGGCACACTCTATAATGGCAATGATACTGTGACGTCACTCATTGGTTTGTGGATTCCTGTTTTGAAGCCTCAAGCCTCAGTGGAGCTATGGAGGAGCAAGGGGTGGATCTGACTCTAGCTGTAGCAACGCCTCATAGACAGCCTGTCACTCAAGCCGCCCTGCCCTTAAATATCCGTAACTTTAAGCCTTAATAAAATGTAAACAGGTGAGTTCTATAAAAATTCACCCCTATACAGTTTTCATGAATGTTGAAATTAGCTATAGAGACCAAAACTGTTTTTGTATCAGGCTGTAAACATGTTTGTTTCTACTGTTAAGTTGGACATTTTAATATGAGGGTCTTTGGGGATTGATTTGCTTCTGGAGCCAGCCTCAAGTGGCCATTAGAGGAACTGCAGGTTTTGGCACTTTTCATTAATATAATGAAGTAATTAATTTATGGCTATGAAAAACACCCTTACTTTCCACAGTGATGGTCTAGATGCTTCCATGGCTAAAATGGTCTTTTAAGAATGTATAATCTCAAAATAATCCATATATTATGATTATGAATATTTGGCATACTGTAATATTAAAGAGTGTGGTCTAGACCTGCTCTATATGAAAAATGTCATGAGATAACTTTTATCGTGATTTGGTGCTATTTAAAACAAAACTAACTGACTTGAACACCACACAGTTTCTTTCAGGTGTGTGTGTGCATTAGCACATGAGTGAGACAGCAGCTTCCTGGATTGTTTGTACCTTTTCCCAGTCTTGTGGACCGCTTCAGGTGGTTTCTGAACACTTTGAAAATCAACATATCTGACTCGAACCCAGGTGCACATGTTGGCTCCTCAGCAGTCACTAAAACAGAGGCCTAAGAGAGGAAAACAGATTGTTTAATCAGATATAAGGGAAATGTGCAATCAGTAGGCTGCAAGAAAACTTTTTCAGTCTGATCTTGTGGAGGAAACTTAGAATGGAATACTGTGTTATTAAAACACAGAATTCAAAAGTAACCCTCAACTGATGTAGCCAAACATAACTCTAGTTCCCTTACTTAAAAAAAAAGACAAAGAGAAAAAAACTGCCATTAAAACTTGTTATCTTAGAGGACAAAAATGTCTCCAACTAAAACTGCTATAAAGTACTATATATTATAATTTTTATTGTTTGGCATTTTTGTTCAATAAAAATTTAATCAGTTATCAAAGTTGTTGTTCTAGGTCATCAGTCATTACAACTCTGAAGACTGGGCTTGAAAAAAGTTGATTCTGTCAAAACTATAATTCACATATGTATAAGAATCTATCTCTCCAACAACATAATGGTAAAACCAATTGGTGTAAGGAAATTTTGATGAAAATCTGTGTTTGAAACAATTTGATCGAAACATATTGGACTGGAATTCAACCTGCTGACAGCATCAACAGGACTAGGGCGGGGCCCGTGTAGACCCACTGACTCCTTGAGGGGAGGAAGAATCAAAATCATAACAATGGTGATTTAAAGCTTGTGGGAAAGGGGTTGACACAATGCTTTTAAAATACTTGACATTTTCGGTCTCATTGTCAATTCAGCCGAGTTATATAATTGAAGAAGCACTTATTAAAATATAATTGCCATTGTCACCTGCCTCAACAACCTTGCTTCTTTGAATAAAATACAGTGCAAGGCTGTGGTGTGTCTAATAAAATTTAAGATTTTACTGAAATAAAAAGCTGCTTGGTGCATAACCATAATTATCCTCAGAAACTGCCAACAAACAAAGGTTTCCAAAAACACCCAAATAGTGTTGTATCAGATGTAAATAAGTAACATAACAACATTAACTACCAGTTTATTTCTCATTCCCTCAGTTAAAAACAAGAGAATGACAGAAATAGATGGAAGCTTTAAGAGTTAACATGAAAGTTACAATCTCAGAGATCTCTGTTTCATTTCGTTTGGCATGAACAGATGGCAGATAATTGCAGTGTGTTTGTTGGCAGACTGCTGGGCATTCAGACAGCTGTTTAAACAGGATGCACTGCAGAGCTCTGTGGCCAGCTCATGATCTGGAGCGGCAGTTTCAACATCTGGACTGTATTCTCCATAAGGCTTGAAAACAGGCTTGTGGATTTATTTATATCAGCTCATTGTGTGAGGGAACTGATTATTAATGATTTCGTACTAACTGTGATTTTCCCAGGAATGTCGCCACAGACACCCAGTTAGTGATTCTGCAAGTGCAAGGGCTTTGGTCATTATTGTGTTATCTTGTTCAGCGATAGTGTCTCTACAAACATTTATTGAAATGAAAATCTTTGAGATTGTTATATTAAGTTATGAAGGCAGAAAATCTCACCTGAAACATGCAGATTAAAAGGCACAAAGCTGCAAACCAGGCAGTCCCCATCTCTCTGTGTGTCCTCTTTCAATATTCCTCGCAATGAAAGTAAAAATAAAAATTCGCTGTGGCTTGTTTTGTCTTCCCTCCTGAAGGCAGGTTCACTTACCGACTGAGTTCAGCTGGACGAGTTGCTGCAGGTACTTTTAGTGTATGACGTCATCTTACAGGTACACAGGTTCCAAGGGTGTCTCTATGTGTTGAGTGGAAATGACATAAGGGGCTTGGGTAAAAAAAAAAAAAAAAACTTTTTAAAATGGTCTTCAACATATGTCACTATAGTCAATGAGATCAGAGCAGATAATTAAATTAGGTTGGGAAAAATGTGTGTGTGTGTGTGTGTGTGTGTGTGTGTGTACATGTGTACATTACATGTGTTTCCAGCCAAAACAGGCAATCTTGCAATGCACCATCCACTTGCAGTGACCACAGATTTTTTTTAAAAAATTATTATTATTATTACTACTTTTTTTTAACAAAAAAGTTTCAACACCAACCCCAGATTCTGGTGTCACAGTATGTTCGTCATTCACACCAACCACCTTCCCAGTAGGGTACACAAATGTAGTGTTTTATTAAGTCTAGCTAAAGCAACAGTAAATGTGTAATGAGTTTGTCACACCACAGGAAAACAGGTTATTCCCTACCCTTCTGCCAGCATGGGGCCTTATTTTGATAAAAATATGTATAGTACATAATTGCAAGAGACAAATTTTTCAGATCCTGTTTGAATTTTGTCATTTATAACACATATGATGTTTTTGGCTTTGTGTTAACGTTCTTGTTCTTGTTTTTCGAGTCTTG